CCGCCCGGATGGCTGGCTGCCTTCCAGCTAGTTGTCGCGTGGCAAATGCCGGGGTGTCATCCAGAACTCTCCAAACAGAAAGAAGCCCTGCCGCCGCCTGCAGCAGCAATTTGTGTTGCAGTTGCTGATGTTGCTGCTGATGTTGCTGTTGCTGTTGCCAATGTTGCTGCCGCTTTGATTGTGCACCATAACTGCGAGGCAGCATTGCCATTGTGTGTCGCCTTTTTCCCTGGCATCGCTGAAGTTTCGCTTTGATCACATTGTAACATTTTGCGACAGTTTTAGATTGTAATGGGCTCCATGGGAGAAATAAGAATAAGAACGACTCTCAATTGAATCGGAGACTGCGAGTCAAACTTGGTTATAACAGCACAGTAAACAAATTGATAAGGAGTTCAATGGAATCAGACAATATACAACTCCTGGAGCACCAATCAACTTTCATAAATAAAATCCTTAAGGTGAAGTTCGAAACAAACAAAACATATTTTCAAAGGCCCGCCTTAAAACCAGATTTGTATAAGTCAGGAAACTATTGCCGTTTTGAGACTTTTTATAAAATATTTTAAAATTAAATTTCTGTAAAAAAAACCATCTCTAAATTAAAGAACTGGATAATATAAAGGAAGAAAGAAGTCCTCGCAAGCTAACAAAGATTCAAGAATAAGCTGCAGTAATAATATTAAACTGTTTGACTTACTATTAAAATTTTACTACTCTTATAAAAACTCAAATTTGAAATTATTTAGTTATAAAAAATTTAAAAAAAAATGCTTCCCTCTTATCTACTTTAAAAAATCAATTATTTTTAAAAAATGATGATAAATCTTATTTTTAAATCTTAATAACATTTGCAAGAACAAAATCAGATTCCATTATATTTTTTTAATATGCTAAATCACAATGAAAAACGCATTTTTAAAAGCAAATATTAAAAGCGATTTTACATAAATTCCCATTCCAGCATAAAAGCAATCTTTTATTTGCCATTTGTAACAACGTTTATGCCACTCGGAGGCGTTTGATTGACCAGCTCAAATGATTGCCACATTTAATTACCCCGTTCGATCAGATAATGTAGTTAATTTTCAATTTTACTTTTTTCGAACAAGCAATTTCCCATGCATTTCGATTTATTGTGCGCTTCATTGGGACAACATGTTTAATTAACGAACACAACGAAGGCGACTTTGTCACTGCCGCTCGGTGAAATTTCTGACTCTCTGGTGACATTTGAAAAGTTTAAAATAATATAATTTTCGACGCTATATGGCAAACTAACAAGTTCGACCCGGCAGCCCAGGGATGGGATGGTATGGTATGGGGATGGTATGGTATGGGGGATGGGATGGGTTGTATATGCTCGCAGATGGGGGGAGTGTTTTTCGGGAGTTTGTCTTAGCTAACTTTTCACCCCGGGAAAGGAGAAACTTTCCCGGCTGCACTGTTGCACACACCCACACGAAGATCTATTGTAAAATATGTAAGAAAGTTTCCTTAGCTGCGTTTTCGGAAAAGCCAGCAGCGCAGCAGCATCGACGTTGTCTTTGGGGAAATTAAACATTTTCTATTTGAAAACTTTGCCGTGTGTGTGGTGGTGGGAGGGGTCTTGGATTTTCCTAAGGTTCAAGAGCAACAGTTGCCTTTTGAACTGTTTCGGGTCGGTCACACTTTGGCATTTCGTTAGTTCCGGTTCCCCTTTTGTTCCACCAACAATTGCGGAAGTCATAATTTTTGCGCTGGCCAAGTTTTTCGGGTTTTTTGACAAATTTAGCAGCAAATTGCAGGCGAAACTTTAGTGCTGACTGCTGGAATGGTGTAATAGTGTAATGGAATGGGCTTGGGGTTTCGGGATCTAAATGTCAAGCGGCTTGCTGTCATAGGTGTTGCATATTTAATGCGCCGACGCCGATGGCAACAGTAGAAACAAGGGAGCATCTGAGGCCCCCAACACAGCGATTGCTATGCAGACAAGTGCACCCAGAGTGCATGCAAATATTTTTGCCAACGATTGTTTTGCCGGTTCCCTCGATTCCGAATGGCCAGCTCTGACTGCGGATTTTTCACAACATCCGGGAAAATCGGGTCAGGGAAAGGGGAGCAAGGACATTCGCCCACCAGACGCCCCTCGCTGTTGTCAACGGTTTGAGTAATTGTCGATGGTGTGAAAATTGGCAACGATGCCATCCAGCTGAAAAAGGATTTACTGGGTTATGTATGAGCCAAAGGCTGATTGAGATGAAGGAGCAGCTGGATCGAGCTGCAAATGACCATCGATGGATGTCTATGGCATCAGCGATGCTGCCAAAACTAAAATAATCATTGATCCAACGAAAACAAAATCAAAGAAATTTTATAAAATGGTAAATTGGGTGGAATTACATTACAAATACAAATGCACTTCAAATACAAATGCAGGAAAAATGTTGAGGGCCATTTAAAATCCAAACATATTCTGAAAATTGGAATTACATTTAAAAGTTGCCCTTAAAATGCCAAGTTTGAGTGGGGGAATAAAATTGTAATAAATAGTCCTGAAACTAAAAAACAATTTTTAAGAGTTTTATATTTTTCAGACATCCAACCCTCAGGTAAAATCCTTTATTCATTTAAAAATTCGCTACAAGGCAAGACATCAATACCCTTGAAACAAATCCATTAATGAAAGGCAAGCCTCATGTAACGAAAAAGCCTTTCCTGATTTTACACAAATAAAATCAATTAAATAGGGCTTAAAAAAAACAAGCCCAAACGATATTTGATTACAAAAAACACCCAGCAGATGATTTTTTACCACAGACTGGAAAAAACTTAGATCCCGAGGCAAATTGAAAACACGATTCCCTACGCTGAAGCGGGCAAAAAATCCCCACAAAAAGGTGATAAAAAACCCGACAACCAAAAATGATTTTCACATTGATGAAAATTAAATGCGAGGCAGGGCAAACCAATGCGATGTGTTGCATCTGTCGGGGCATTATCAAATAATTCAGTTGTAATCTATTTTAATCCGCCCGCGTGGCCCGCGAAACCGCCCCACTTGACATGGCGAATCATCAGAATGTTTGTTAGCTTGGCCTCTGATATCGCCTCTCAATTTCCAACCATTTTCCAACCCACAGCCCACCCACCCAACTTCGTTATAAAAGTATTTATTTCGACATTTTGCTAAACATTGCCCAGATTTAAATTTCCATTCATGTAAAATTGCATAAATACATGCAAATATCGTTTGATGGAAATGTCCAGCTATATTTCAGTCACCCATTTTTTTATTCGCATAGCCAGGGAATTATTCAAATAATTTAAGCGGCTTAGTGTAATGGCTGGTGAGGTTTTGTCTCGATCCAGAGAATGGGAGTAAAGCTGCTCTAAGCGAAAAGAACCAATGCGGTTGCTTAAATTATACAGTATAATTTGCGAATATAGATTACCAATTGCATGAAAGGGCAATTGAATAAATAATTGTTTGGGTTTATGCTCAATCGATTGGTCGAGGGTGATTTATCATTAGAAAAGTCAATATGGATTATATGGAACGTAGCATTTTTCTGACTCCACGATCTTGTCTATCCACCCGAAATCCACTAAAATGACACTAACAAAATCTCTTATTGTTAATTTGTATAATTGGTAAATGTTTTGAGTGTTTCCAAGTGGCCCATAATCGGTTGCATTCGGAAGCAAGGACGAGTTTCTAAAAAAATTCTTGACTGCAAACTGTTTAAGCGGGCTGCAAACAGGCTTTAGGCTCAACAAAAGTCCCCCCATTCATCATGTCTAAATTATCTTACCTCATCCAAAACTCATCAAGATTCTTTAAATATTTAAATATAAATACTTTGAATTGCAAATTTGTTAATATGCAGATATGGGAAAACAGTTTTTAGCTTTAATTAAAAGTAAGATAAGAACCAAATACCAAACGATATGATGGACTATATAAAAAAGAAACTATTTCTTACTAAAGTCAGTCGAAGAAAATGTTTCGATCACTAATCCTACTCAATATTTTAGCCCTACCTTGCTTGGTTCTTGGAAATCAAAGGATCATAGACGGCAATACAGTGAACATTAAGGATGCCCCGTGGTATGCCTCCATTCTAGTCAGATCCTATCTGAAATGCGGTGGAGTCCTCGTTTCAAACAACTATATCCTGACAGCTGCCAAATGTGTGGATGGTTATAAAGTGAAAAATATAAAAGTTAGATTGGGTACCAGCAGTTGTAGGTCTGGTGGATCGCAGCTAGGAATCTGTAGTGTGAAAATCCACAGCCAGTATTCCAGTTGGCGCTTCGACAATAATTTGGCCTTATTAAAAACCTGCGAGCTCATTAATGCCACCGATAAAATAAAACCCATCGAGAGGATCGACAAGTTACCAGATGATAATTCCCGAGCCAATATATCCGGCTGTGGTTCCAGATCGGGAAGTTGGCTTGATGTGCTTCAAGAGAAGAGGTCTGCCGGTATTTTCGATGGGATTGTGAACATATTATCCAATTTGCCTGCCCAATTGCACGGCACCGAGGTGAAAATACTTAGCCAAGAGCAGTGCGCTGCTGACTGGACCTTTCCATTTCTTCTTCACGATGGAATCTCTGAGCTGACCATCTGTACCAAGTCTTCCCGCACGGGAGCCTGTTCCTTTGATATGGGGGCTCCCTTGGTCGTCGACAATAAGCTAGTGGGCATCCTTTCCAGGGCAGGCTGTTCCATCAAACCAGATGTCTTTTCGAATGTCCTTAAGAACACCGATTGGCTGGATAGCAGCATTAAGCAGTAATATTTAATATTTAAAATGAAAACACACGTTTGACTTAAAACATAATTACCTTACCATATATAATTACTTGAATTTGTTAGAGCACAAAATAAAGAAGAACATTGCGTAACCGTTGAATATAGGTGGGGAAAATTATAAATCAATTCCGAATGTCACCCTTGAAATAACATATATATAGGAGTGATCAAGAAGTAACGGGTTTATTAAAGAAAAATGCTACAACCAGCTGGAATACTTCTTTTAATAATCCTATCCTGGTCGACTGTTGAAGCGGCTAAGAATGGCACGTGTTTCGCTCGTGGAAAACCAGCGAAGATCCAGGAAGTGCCATGGATAGCTTCGATTCAGTCTAATGATAAGCACATGTGCAGCGGCGCTATCATCAATCCAAAGTTCGTACTAATCATTGGAACTTGCTTGACAAACCTTAGCTTAACCACTGTCAAGGTGCGCGTTGGCAAAGCCGATCGAGACTCTGGATCTAATGCTGGGGTCTGCAATGAAATCATCCATACGCGGAACCCGAAGTATCCTAGGGATGACAATCTTTCCTTGCTGAAACTCTGCGAACCTCTTAAAATCTCTGCCGAGGTCAAGGCCATCGAGATAATCGACAAGCAGCCCCAGAAGGGTGCCAAAGGCTCAGTTTCCGGATGGGGTTCCCTCACCAAGTGGCGATATAACTTAAAAGACTGCTGGGCCGAGCATTCTAAGGTCCTGCGAAAAACTGATGTCCAGCTCAAAGATATCAAGGAATGCGCCACTATACGAAAAAACATTTTTACCACCACGAGTGTTTCGGATGTTAACATTTGCAGTGAGAAGTTGGAATTCACTTGCTCCTATGATGCGGGATCTCCTCTGGTCATCGATGGCAAGCTGGCGGGCATAATAACCGCCGGATCTTGCATTAGGAGGCCCGAAATCTATGCCAGTTTGTACAATTACAGAAAATGGATAGAAACCAGTACAAAGGACAAGTAATGCCCAGAAGCTGTATTCGTTTAATCATGTTAAGTTAAATAAAAATATTTGCTTAAGAATATAAACATTCAGCATATAACTATTTTTAATAAACGTAATAATGTCTATTCAATCAACTAAACGTCACCATTTGGTATTATTACTGAACCTTAAGTTATGGGACGAGGATATAGAATATGTGAAAGGAGAATATCGCATGATATTGGTAAGTCCCTTACAGCACTTGCTTGAGTCTTTCGGGCTTTCTGACTGGTTTTTTTTATTGCATTAATAAATATATATATTTATAATGTAAGCTATAAACACAATATTTATTCCTTGGTTATTTCAATTAAATTTGAAAGAACACAGAGTACCAGAGAGCATTGCTTAAGTGAGAAAAATTAACAATCAATTAACCATGACACAGTTGAAAGGTCTTATAAATAGTGGAACCCTATCAATAACGGACTTAGAAAACCAAAATGCTCCAAGCAGCTTTTGTACTTTGTCTAGTCATCCTGCCATGGTCGGCTGTTCCAGAAATTCTGGTGAAGGAGTGTGAGTCGGCTGGCGACCAACCTGCACCCGAGGATGTCCCATGGCAGGCAATGGTTCAATTTAAAAAAATTGGCATATGCAGCGGAGCTATTTTGAACACCAACTACATCCTAACTGCCCCGGATTGCGTCAGAGACAAAGTACCATCTGATCTGAGGGTGCGAGTAGGCTATCGTAGGCGGTACGATGGAGATTTTGCGGGAGTTTGCGAAGTAATAATCCATCACCAGTCCAGCAAAACAAATCAGAGCAGCAATCTGGCCTTGTTGAAGCTCTGCGAACCTCTGGACCCCTCTGAAACTATCCGGAAAATCGGCATAATCGACAAGCAGCCCAAAAACGGGGCTGAGGCGTTCATCTCTGGATACGGATCCTATAACAACTCGGTTTATAATTGCTACCCCCTTACTTTACGAAAGAAAGCTGTGCAACTGTACGATCTAAAGGCGTGTGCCGATGAGCGAAAGCTTTCCGCTCCGACCATCAGCGTTACGGATCTTAACTTTTGCGCCGAGAAGAAGGAGAGGTTATGTTCCTTCCATAAAGGTGCTCCACTGGTCGTAGATGGCAAGCTGGCGGGCATTTTGTCGTTTGGGGATTGTTCCACGGAGCCCGATGTCTTCGTCAATGTGTTATATCACAAAAAATGGGTGCAAGCCAATACAAAGATATAATGGATATCATTTTAAAAGTCTTTGCATGTACTTCAATAAAATGAAACTAATTGCAACTTTTAAAAACTACAAAGATCGATTTGGAAGCACTTTTGGGCTTATGACACTGAATCAAAATAACTTAAAAAGTCTTGGCAACAAATTGTATGAATTTATATACTAACACGTTCATTTGCCTTTTTTTTTTTTAAATAAATTCCAGACTTATAGTCAAGTACAAAAATGTCTAAGTTAGTTTTAAAGGTTTTACATCTAATGAAAACATATTTTAATATGTTCTTTATGAAAGACTCAAGTTTAAGTTAAGTTACAAAACCAGAGATTGACATTTTAAAACAGAATGGGCACGGTGTTATACCGTAAAATATTTTTAAGCCGTTCAGCATAACAAATTCAATTTTAAGTTTTTTCTATGGTTCGCACTATAAAATCCACAGTACTCGGTGTAGCCAATTTCATTCGCAATAATGATGCTAAAAACTGTGCCACTCCTTCTAGGGTTATTCCTGCTCGTACTTTCCGATCCCGATCCCGAACCTGCAGTTTATGATGATCCAGAAGAGGAGAAGGTTAAGTGCAACAATAATACACTTGGTGGTACACCCGTGGATATAAACACAGCGCCATGGACGGCATCAATTTCGATCACGGAAAAGGCCAAAGCATTGCTTAAGTGAGAAAAATTAACAATCAATTAACCATGACACAGTTGAAAGGTCTTATAAATAGTGGAACCCTATCAATAACGGACTTAGAAAACCAAAATGCTCCAAGCAGCTTTTGTACTTTGTCTAGTCATCCTGCCATGGTCGGCTGTTCCAGAAATTCGGGTGCAGGAGTGTGAGTCGGCTGGCGACCAACCTGCGGCCGAGGATGTCCCATGGCAGGCAATGGTTCAATTTAAAAAAATTGGCATATGCAACGGAGCTATTTTGAACACCAACTACATCCTAACTGCCCCGGATTGCGTCAGAGACAAAGTACCATCTGATCTGGGGGTGCGAGTAGGCTATCGTAGGCGGTACGATGGAGATTTTGCGGGAGTTTGCCAAGTAATAATCCATCCCCAGTCCAGCAAAACAAATCAGAGCAGCAATCTGGCCTTGTTGAAGCTCTGCGAACCTCTGGACCCCTCTGAAACTATCAAGGAAATCGGCATAATCGACAAGCAGCCCAAAAACGGGGCTGAGGCGTTCATCTCTGGATACGGATCCTATAACAACTCGGTATATTATTGCGACCCCCTTACTTTACGAAAGAAAGCTGTGCAACTGTACGATCTAAAGGCGTGTGCCGCTGAGCGAAAGCTTTCCGCTCCGACCATCAGCGTTACGGATCTTAACTTTTGCGCCGAGAAGAAGGAGAGGTTATGTTCCTTCCATAAAGGTGCTCCACTGGTCGTAGATGGCAAGCTGGCGGGCATTTTGTCGTTTGGGGATTGTTCCACGGAGCCCGATGTCTTCGTCAATGTGTTATATCACAAAAAATGGGTGCAAGCCAATACAAAGATATAATGGATATCATTTTAAAAGTCTTTGCATGTACTTCAATAAAATGAAACTAATTGCAACTTTTAAAAACTAAAAGGATCGATTTGGAAGCACTTTTGGGCTTATGACACTGAATCAAAATAACTTAAAAAGTCTTGGCAACAAATTGTATGAATTTATATACTAACACGTTCATTTGCCTTTTTTTTTTTTAAATAAATTCCAGACTTATAGTCAAGTACAAAAATGTCTAAGTTAGTTTTAAAGGTTTTACATCTAATGAAAACATATTTTAATATGTTCTTTATGAAAGACTCAAGTTTAAGTTAAGATTGACATTTTAAAACTGAATGGGCACGGTGTTATACCGTAAAATATTTTTAAGCCGTTCAGCATAACAAATTCAATTTTAAGATTTTTCTATGGTTCGCACTATAAAATCCACAGTACTCGGTGTAGCCAATTTCATTCGCAATAATGATGCTAAAAACTGTGCCACTCCTTCTAGGGTTATTCCTGCTCGTACTTTCCGATCCCGATCCCGAACCTGCAGTTTATGATGATCCAGAAGAGGAGAAGGTTAAGTGCAACAATAATACACTTGGTGGTACACCCGTGGATATAAACACAGCGCCATGGACGGCATCAATTTCGATCACGGAAAAGGCCAAAGCATTGCTTAAGTGAGAAAAATTAACAATCAATTAACCATGACACAGTTGAAAGGTCTTATAAATAGTGGAACCCTATCAATAACGGACTTAGAAAATCAAAATGCTCCAAGCAGCTTTTGTACTTTGTCTAGTCATCCTGCCCTGGTCGGCTGTTCCAGAAATTCGGGTGCAGGAGTGTGAGTCGGCTGGCGACCAACCTGCGGCCGAGGATGTCCCATGGCAGGCAATGGTTCAATTTAAAAAAATTGGCATATGCAACGGAGCTATTTTGAACACCAACTACATCCTAACTGCCCCGGATTGCGTCAGAGACAAAGTACCATCTGATCTGGGGGTGCGAGTAGGCTATCGTAGGCGGTACGATGGAGATTTCGCGGGAGTTTGCCAAGTAATAATCCATCCCCAGTCCAGCAAAACAAATCAGAGCAGCAATCTGGCCGTGTTGAAGCTCTGCGAACCTCTGGACCCCTCTGAAACTATCAAGGAAATCGGCATAATCGACAAGCAGCCCAAAAACGGGGCTGAGGCGTTCATCTCTGGATACGGATCCTATAACAACTCGGTATATTATTGCGACCCCCTTACTTTACGAAAGAAAGCTGTGCAACTGTACGATCTAAAGGCGTGTGCCGCTGAGCGAAAGCTTTCCGCTCCGACCATCAGCGTTACGGATCTTAACTTTTGCGCCGAGAAGAAGGAGAGGTTATGTTCCTTCTATAAAGGTGCTCCACTGGTCGTAGATGGCAAGCTGGCGGGCATTTTGTCGTTTGGGGATTGTTCCACGGAGCCCGATGTCTTCGTCAATGTGTTATATCACAAAAAATGGGTGCAAGCCAATACAAAGATATAATGGATATCATTTTAAAAGTCTTTGCATGTACTTCAATAAAATGAAACTAATTGCAACTTTTAAAAACTACAAAGATCGATTTGGAAGCACTTTTGGGCTTATGACACTGAATCAAAATAACTTAAAAAGTCTTGGCAACAAATTGTATGAATTTATATACTAACACGTTCATTTGCCTTTTTTTTTTTTAAATAAATTCCAGACTTATAGTCAAGTACAAAAATGTCTAAGTTAGTTTTAAAGGTTTTAACATACATCTAATAAAAACATATTTTAATATGTTCTTTATGAAAGACTCAAGTTTAAGTTAAGATTGACATTTTAAAACTGAATGGGCACGGTGTTATACCGTAAAATATTTTTAAGCCGTTCAGCATAACAAATTCAATTTTAAGATTTTTCTATGGTTCGCACTATAAAATCCACAGTACTAGGTGTAACCAATTTCATTCGCAATAATGATGCTAAAAGCTGTGCCACTCCTTCTAGGGTTATTCCTGCTCGTACTTTCCGATCCCGATCCCGAACCTGCAGTTTATGATGATCCAGAAGAGGAGAAGGTTAAGTGCAACAATAATACACTTGGTGGTACACCCGTGGATATAAACACAGCGCCATGGACGGCATCAATTTCGATCACGGAAAAGGCCAAGTGCGCCGGGATTATCTACAATTGGAACCACGTACTAACGGCTGCCAAATGTGTGGACGGATTTATGAGCAAGGCGATAAAGGTGCGCCTGGGAAGCACTGATCGCAGCACTGGAGTTACCGAAGTCGCCGTTTGCAAGATCATCGTCCATGAGAAGTTTTCCACCCACACCATTCACAATAACTTGGCCATGTTGAAGTTGTGCCGCCCGCTCAAGCCCTCCAAAACGATCAAGACTATCCAGGTGGTAAACAAGTTACCAGCAGATGGCACAAAGGCAGTATCCCATGGCTGGGCATCCTTCCGATGGTGGGCAATGTTTTGGACCAAGTGCGTTGATGAATTGGCTCACAAGATGCTGAAGGCGGTAGTGAAGTTTTACAATCACAAAAAGTGTCTCGGCTTGTGGCCGGCAACGAGTTTTCCCAAAGTAACCAATCCCAACACAAACATCACAGAAGACTTGTTCTGCACCGATAAGTTCGGAAATGAATCCTGCGCATTCGACTTGGGAGCTCCCCTGACCCACGATGGCAAACTGCTCGGCATTCTAACCAGGGGCGGCTGCTCCCAGCGACCTGAAATCTACACCAATCTCGTCAAGTTCAAGACTTGGCTGGACAAAAATTCAAAGTAACAACGCCTTAAGTGAGGGTAAAATATTTTAATAAATTCATGTTAATTTGTAACCTTTCTTTTAATAAGCACATATTTCAATAAATATATACCCTTGTCATCAGCTTCATGTAAAGCTACAGGTAATGGCCAAAGTAAAATCCAATTATTAATTAAAAACTGGAGACGGAAATGGCTAGATAGACTTGGCTAGTAATCATTATCAAGAACTTACATACTTTATAGTGTCGGAAACGCTTTCTTATAACTGATTCATAAATCTATCCGAATACAATACACCCTTTTACTCTATAAGTAACGTTCTTAATAATGTAGAACTACAGGTTGAAAACTAACCTCGGTTAAACCTTTTTAAAAGGGCACAATAAAATCCAATTTATTTATTTAATTATTCATAATTGTTAAAACTATGCAGTTCTGATAAAAGTAAGTAACACGCAATACTTCCTACTAAGATAGAACTTAGAACAGAATAACTACTTATACAGTGAACAAAAAAACATTGTTTCGAAAGTTTTTTTTAACCTCTTTTAAATTCTCATTTAAAGACTTTAAACTTGGATTTATGTATGAACTTCTTTTTCTTAATGGCATATAGTAATTAATTATAGTAATTATTAAATATAAAGTTTTTGTATTAGATTTTAATGCGAAGCCCTGAATTCAACACTTAAATATTTGTTTTTACCATTGTATTCCAATTGCCTTACTATTTCATTTTTAGCAGTGTAAGAAAACCATTACTCATTTTGAGGTATGACTTTGCCGATAAGAAGTGGGGGAGTTTACCTATAAAAAGAGTTCCGAAAACAGTGACAAGCTCAGTTGACTAAAATGATCTTGCTGGTGCTTTCCCTTCTACTGGCTGGTTTTACAAGGATTACCTTTGGTGATCCCGAGTTCCAGAACCGCATCATTGGAGGCTATTATGTGGACATTGCAGATGCACCCTATCAGGCGGAAGTGATTATAGACGGCACTGCAATATGCAGTGGTGCCATCATAAAACCAAAATTCATCCTTACGGCGGCTTCTTGTGTTTCGGAATACTATAGTTCGGTTCAAGTGCGTGTGGACACCAATTCCAGGGACTATGATGGCACTGGAACTTTGGTGGATGTCTGCAATATCATCAGTCATCAAGGATACAATTACTGGCGCTTCGATAACAATCTGGCCCTGCTGAAGCTGTGCGAACCGCTGAAGACCTCGAAAACTGTGAATCCCATCGGCTTGTCTCAGGAACTACCGGAGGATTATTCCTGGTGTGTGGTTTCCGGCTGGGGATCCACCAGTTGGTGGGGCAGCTGGTGGGACAGGTGCTTTGGCAGTCTTCCAGACTATCTACAGATGGTCTGGGTTAGCGTCTACAATCGGGAGCAGTGCGCCGCGGACCGGGGAGTTTGGTTCGGTCTCTGGGATAATGGCATCTCGTACCTGACCCTTTGCACCCAGTATGGCGCCGGTGGATGCTCCTACGACACAGGAGCTCCGCTGGTGAGAAATGGATACCTCGTGGGCATTCTATCCGAGGGCGGTTGCTCAAAGAAGCCCGATGTCTACGCAAGTGTGATTTGGTTCCTGAATTGGATAGAGGATAATACGGCCGACGATGTTACCACACCTCCGTCTAATAGTACAAGTGTTAGCACTCAAGTTCCTACTTCTAGCTCTATTATTTCTACTAGTGATACACCTAGGACGACACCTTTACCTACATCCATTCCTGAAACTACTTCGAGTACAAAAATAACTCCTATTTCCACCGTTTCCAGTTCCACAATTACTACTAATACACCTACTACTACTTCTGCGCCTACGTCTGTTCCTGAAACCACTTCTGGTACTGAAATATCCTCTAGTACCACTATTTCCAGTTCCACAGGTACAACTAAGACTCCTAGTACGACTCTTTCCCCTACTTTTACTCCGAAAGCTACTACTTCTGAGACTTCAAGTTCCACGGGATCCGTTTCCACAGATGTAACTAAAACACAGACAACTACTTCTTCCCCTACTTCTACTCCTAAAACTACTCCTAGTTCCACTGCTTCGAGCTCCACAGAAACTACACCTAGTTCTACTCCTTCACCTACTTCTTCTCCTATAACTACCCCAAGTTCCACTGTATCCAGCTCCACAGAAACTACACCAAGTACACCGATAACTACTTCTACCCCTACTTCTACTCCTAAAACTACTCCTAGTTTCACTGCTTCCAGCTCCACAGAAACCACATCTAGTTCTACTCCTTCACCTACTTCTTCTTCTATAACTACTTCTACTACTTCTACTTCTACTATAACTACTTCCACTGTATCCAGCTCCACAGAAACTTCTGACACACCTACTACTGATCTTTCTACTTCTGAAACTCCTCCTAGTTCTACAAATCCGATAGTTAGCACTAGTGATGAAGAAGGTGCTATTCCAGTGACACCAAAGCCTTTAGTTCCATAATTACAAAACATTTATTATATTTTGGTATTCCATTTTATTTTGCCTTTTATCATAATGGTTTAATGTTTTTACATTTTGTTCTTAATATTATATATAATCTTAAGAATATGAATTCTTATCTTCAGAAAAATCCATAAAATGTTTAATAAATAGCTCCTACACACATTATAAGTTTAACAATGTATGTAACAATCCTAGAAGTAAGAAATTTTTAGTAACTAATTTCAAAATGCGTTATACATAGAACCAGTCGAGGCTTACTTCCTAGTGAGCGGAAGTGTTATGAAATGCTAACAAAGTTTAGTGCAGCTAAAAAACAAGTTTGATTTATATAAAATTTACAGCTCACCAATAACAAACAGAAAACTAGAAATAATACGTATGTATATGAGTTATATGATACTAATTAACACCCTTAATAAAAGGAGAACTGTGAAGCTCGCTTTCAAAATGAAGCTTATCTCGATTTATCCTCATGTGTTTGGCTTATTTCTCCCGAAACCACAATCCTTGGGTTCCACTCAGAGTGTCTAAGGCTACGTCCATGGAAATGTCTACTACAACAGCCCCTGGACATTTGCATTATTCATGCTGGTCAAGTCAAACAGAAACAGAATTGAAGAAAGGTATGCGGCATGATGAAGTTGGGATACTCTTAAAAAAATCAAAAAGGAAATATGGTCCGTAGTAGTAAAACGCTCCCATGAAACAGAGAAATTTTCTAGGAAATTAGTCAAATGTGCTCGATCAAATTTCCAGTTCCCCCATATACTTAAGTTAATTAAAGTTTAGTTTTTGGTCGGCCAACAAAAAGCCGAAGATAAATTGAGGCATAAAAACTTGGAGACTTGGTGGGGTGGCAAGTCGTGATGAAGAGTCCCCTTAGGTTGACACCATTTATAAAGCTGCCTGGCAGCTGCCTGCATCCATTTGTGGCAAGTGCAACCGCGTTCAGGTTCTGCTCGCCACGTTCGGGCTGACAAAATCAAGATCTGGGGACATGGGATTTACTTGGGCCAGGTTGCCTCGCAGAGGAAAATACTTTTAGTGCAAATTGAAAAGTTCTCTCTGCTTAGACAAATATCTGCAAGAGTGGGCAGCTGCTGCAGATGGCCGATGCTGATGCTCCTGCCTCAAGGACATCGACACGAAAGCCGTTCTGGCCATTTATCAGAATGTTATTGGCCGAAAGACAAAAAAAAAGGGGGGAAGGCAACGGGTGTAGGAAAACCAAGGAAAGGATAGCCGGGAGAACGAAGACAACTGCAATAAAATGCAATGTTTCTATTACAGCGATTTACGTGCGCACACCAACGCTGACAGACAGTGAGCACTCTATAAGCAAACAAGGTACAAGCGATTTTAAAGGATTTCAAAAAGATTTAAGTACCATACCTCATTTAACTCGAGACAAAGTACGAGTAAAGAGCACTTTCTTCTTGAATTCAAGAACGTTTCTCCTCGAAAAAGTGAGTCTGTGAATTTTTAAGTTAGGAACATGTGATCTTATTGCTTTTCCGCTCTCAATTATTCTAGGTGTGGGACTAACAGTTACTAGCAATAAAAATGTAATGTTCCTTAAAGTACAAGTAAGGAGCTATTACTTCTTACATTTAAGAACGTTTTTTCTCGATTAAATGAGAATGCGAATTTTTAAGTAACGAACATGTGATCTAGGTGCTTTTCCGCTCTCAATTATTCTAGGTGTGGGACTAACAATTACTAGGAATAATAAAAGAGTACCATACCTCATTTAACTAGAGTTAAAATACGAGTAAAGAGTACTGTCTTCTTGAATTCAAGAACGTTTCTTCTTGATTAAGTGGGAATGCGAATTTTGAAGTTAAGAACATGTGATCTTGGTGTTTTTCCGCTCTCAACTATTCTAGGTGTGGGACTATCAGTTACTAGCAACATCAATCTATAAACTCCGTCCATTCTAGCGAAGATTCCCTGTATCTCACGCTCCAGTCCACCCATTTAGCATCACCCCGCCGCGTGAGCAACATTTTTATGGCTTCTTGGACGAGCGGAATGTTCTGTTTTTGGGCAAAGCAAAGTTTTCATGGGTTGCTGTCCTTCGCGCTGCGACTTTTTGTAGTTGTTAGGTTGTTGAAGTTGTTGGTGTTTCTGGGTTGTTTGTTAACTAGCAGCAACTAGAAGATAAGCAGCCGAAATGTTCCTCTTGCCGCTGGTCAAATGCATTTATTTCCCTTATTCTCCTCGTGTGCATCCATCGTTTCTTCCTTCTTTTTTTTTAGCCATTTTAATTGCTGTTGAACTTGGTGTTTGGCAATTGGCCGGGCAACAAAACAAAACCCATTACACCAAAAAGACCGAGAGCAGCAAATCGAAGCAATATATTTGATTTAACTTGTTTGCACAAAATGGTTTTGTTGGCCTTTTTGCTTTTGGCGCGCACAAATATAAATTTGTTGACGCGCTTTGAAAACTATTTTGGGAATTGCGGAGATTTGTGGTAGAAAAGTAGAATTATTATGGCCAACAGAGCAGCGTTGCAACAATTTATGGCAAGTCGACCGAAGTATGTAAGTAAGTGCGAATTGAATTGCGAAAAATAAATGTTAACTGTGTTTTGCACTCAGCACTGAAAGCCGAAATTAGTGCACATATAATGGAAGTGTTTAAATAGTGCTTTTTATTTTATTTTCAAATAATGTGCTCTTATTGTTCAGTGGCAACCGCATGCAGGCGATTAAATATTTAAACTCTTTTTCTTTTTTTTCGCCATTCACATATTATTTTAACCAAATTTTCATTTTCCAATTAAGTATAATATGTTTTTAATTCATGCACTAGGATATTTAATTGAATTTGTTATGCAAAAGCGATTCTCTTTTCTTTCTCCCCTTCTTTTTTTTTTTGTAGTTTGCCGCCCAACAACGAAACAATTAAATTTCCCTCCTTAAATAGGGGGCAAAAACATTTAAATTAGGATTAGTTCCGTATGTGCGTGAGCTTTTAAATCAAAACATATGCAAAACATAGACGAAGGGTAGAGTCAGCGGGATGCCTTTTTGGCCATTCGGCATATTTCTTTACGCCGCGGGAATATTGATTTGGCCCTGTCCAGGGGCGTTGGCAAAGGGGGAGGGGCAGGGGTTTTTGTCACACACATAAATTAATATCCTAACAATATTTGTAACTGAGCAGTCGTTGCCCGTTGGTCATTGCCCGTGCCGATTTCCATTTTCCGCTCCGGAACCCCTCGACCATCCCAAACAATCAGAGACATTTGGTGTCCGGCACGTCGTCGCGCGCATTTTCAAATTATATTATTTTTGAATGGCTTTTTAGAAATTAATAATTACATATGACAACCCTGTGTGTGCGTGTGTGTGTGTGTGTGGGCGGGGGAGGGGTAGTGGGCGTGGCTGGTTGGACGTGGCACTTAATTTTTTGTATTATGCAACTGTCAGCACCCCGGCTTTAATGGCCATTTAAATTGGCACAGGCAGCCATAATAAACTAAAGCTTATGGTAGAGTCGGAAAGATATTTTAAAAAAGGGGAACCATTCTTCCTGAGCTTATTTAATTAAAATTGTTCGATAAATTGTTCTGTTTTTTTCGTTATAAGTTCAGCACTACCATTAAGAACAACAAAATATAGAATATTTTAAAGGAAATGTTTAATGTATCTAGCTTTATTATTTAGATAATTATAATTATTTTTAAGATCGTACTCACACAAGCTTATAACGTGCACTTTAGGGACTTTAAGGAATCCTAAACTATAATGGAAAAAAAATTAAAATTCAATTTTAAGGACCTCTCATTGGATTTGTTAAAAAAATGCATCTTCATAAGGTAGCGTAGGTTCCAATAAAAAATTGTGTTTTTTTTTCGAAGAATAATTTAAAGAGGTCTAATAAGCAAGAATGATTTTTAGGAAAATTAGTAATTTTTAACACGTTGTATGATTCAATTTTAAGAAAACTTTGAGTTCTTTGCAAAACGACCAAATCTTAAAAGAAGATAAGATACAAGACATAATTATACACTTTTTGCATACCAAAATTTACCAAAAGGACGAGGGTTTGTTTAATTAGACCACCCTATGTATATATATCATATGTATGTAATTCCATTAAGAGGTCAATATCTTAGTCAATTCCTTTAACAAATGACTTAAGCTACCAGGCTCTGTAATTTTTCGTTATTGTAGGGAGTTTTCCTGTCCACATTCATTTCTTTACTACTATTCCCATCTTGGTGGCTTCTTTTTTTGGGGTCCCAGTACGCAGACCGCCGAATGGCTGTGGATCCCGGCCGGAGACCCAGAGACTTGGAATACTTTGGGATCTCTCCCCCATTATTAATTGCTAACGTGCGCTGATTTCTTTGCTATACTTTTTGCGGCTCTCCATCTTCCTGTTTGTTATTTGTTGCTGCCCTCCTTTTGGCCAATGTTCAGTGCCATTTAACCCTTTCGCTGGATGTGGGTTTGGATGTTCGTTTGGATGTTTTCCACTGGCTGTCTTGTCCATTTGGCCCGGCAGTGACATTCATGCACCGGCGAGCAAAGCGTCGCCCCAGCAGCTGAGCGAGGTCCATGGCCAAAAGGGAGTTGGTAACGGCGGCTCAGTTTGGCAATAAATCAATGCATGCCGTTTGGCTTGGTACGACCGGCTTTAAAGGCTACTTGTTTTTGCAGCATTTAATGCACTCGCTTTCGAGTCGGAACTAATGACAAAACCATGTCAAACGGAAGCC